ACCCCAGGATGTTATTGACTCATTAGATGTGTAATAAGACCCAGGATGTTATGACTTCGTTGATGTGTAATAGACCCCAAGATATCAACGACCTCATTAGATGTGATATAACCATTTGTCACAAGATAATTCGATGTGTCATAACTAGAATAGAAGGTGTTGTTGTTGAAATAAACCCTGTCCAGGAACAGTGTTTCCCCTTTAAGTATTGTTCGATATGGTGCTAGGCCACTATCCGCATTCGAATTAAAAACATATAGGTCTAGTTCATTCACATCTAACTCTTGGCCAAGAGTGAGAACCTCCTCGCCCTGGAATATGATGTTCCTTGTGTCCAGCACCTGTTGTTCTTGGCCATCGATAGTGATGGTCTTATATATATTGCTATATATGTATGCCTCGCCTTCGATGAAATTAAGCTTATTACCGTCTTGTGTCCGTGAGTAAATCCGAATGACCTTATCCTGCTTCATTGTATTGAGAACCTCTCTTTCTAAAACCCCGATGATGATACCGACAGCCATTCGAAGAACATTAATCCAAGACAAGATGAACAGGCCGTCAGCCTTGGAGGTCGAGGTCGCGGATGATATAAGGCCACCTATGAAACCTGTCCCAATAGCAAGGCCGCCCTTTACTATATCGCCGAACCCACTCAATATATCGACGCCATCATTGAGAGTTGAACCGACATCTTGGAGTGCTTGTGTTGTTTGGCCATTGCTTATGTCCTCGACGTTCTGGGTGAGGTTTTCAATATCTTCTATGTTTAAGTTGATGGTATCAATGACATCTTGAAGCAGCACATATGAGCCATCTTGCTTTCTTAGATGAATGTTATATATATCGGTGTTAGAGCTGTAATCCAATATTATGAGGTCCTGATTGCTGCTATACAAGACAGTGTTCGAGGTTCCCTCGATATTGATTAAGTCCAACAGCTGGTTGATAGCGCCCCTGTTGATGGATATATCTGAGTCTATCGTTTGGAATTGAGTATCATATGATGGCAGGTCATTGATAAGGAGATAGTTATTAAGCCTAGCTTCAAGCTGATTGAGTCTATATAGAAGGTCTTCTATTTCATTCTCGACCCTATCCACCCCTAAGCTGGCTACCCAGCTCATATTTATAGTATATATGATATATTCTTAGTCAAAGAATAGCCTAGTGTCTCTTCTATGGACTTGAATCAAGCCCTTGTTCTTCCTTTGTTTTGCTGTGAAGCGCGAGCTCTCATAAAATTGGAGTTCCTCTTCTGTTATGATTTGTTCTTGGAGTAGCTGCTGAACGAGAAACTTGTTTCTGAACACTCGGTCTGTGAAAGTCCTAAGGAAGGCCATATAATCTCGGTACTCACCACGGACTCGGTTGTCACTTGCCATATGTAGTTCTATGGTAAGGAGATATAAAATTCCGGGGGGTGCGCCCCCCGACGGCGCTAGGTCTTTTGGGTGGTAAGGAGATATAAAATTTAGGCAAGAGATAGAGTATGGTTCGTTGGATGAAGAGGAGGGAGATGATGCCTGAGGGAGATGATGCCTGAGGGAGATGATGCTGAGGGAGATGATGCTATTATCCTCTATTGAATATGTTTTTTCCCTCTTGAAAAAAAAGATAGTAATAAAACAACCAAGGATAAGGGGGGTGAAAGATAAGGGGGGGTTTTGAAAAGTATTTTACAAATCCATCACAAAAGGTCCAAACACTTACCAAATACCCCCCCTTATCCTTGACCCCCCTTATCCTTAGTTCATTCACTACTAAACAATCAAACAATGTTGAAGAAATAAATGACTTAGTAGCTCAAAGGGGTATGTGTGAGCGTTAAAAGGTTAATCGGAAGTTTGCGTCAATCACTTAGTAGCTCAAAGGGGGTGGTCAATTGACCACCCAACTTAGTTGGGTGACTATTTAATAAAAACATCATAGGATGCTCACATGTTAGTAGTTGCGCCTCTTAGAAAGGCCCTTATATTGATTACATACGGTGTGTTATATTTTTTACCCCCTCACCCCACGTGTATATTGTGTTTTATACATTGCTTCTTCGGACATTTAGAGGGCTGACAAATAAGCCCCTATTTGTTCCTTTTGGTCACGAATGGTCACGAAAGCATTTATTCAGACCATTGTAAGAGCTGACAAATAAGCCCCTATTTGTTCATTTTGGTCACGAATGGTCACGAAAGCATTTATTCAGACCATTGTAAGAGCTGACAAATAAGCCCCTATTTGTTCCTTTTGGTCACGAATGGTCACGAAAGCATTTATTCAGACCATTGTAAGAGCTGACAAATAAGCCCCTATTTGTTCCTTTTGGTCACGAATGGTCACGACGACATCGCACAGCGGCATGAGCTCTCCATCTCCCCGGCCACATCTATTTCATAGAGGTTCTACGGACATATAGCTAGATATTGGGAGAGGTCATCATATGAATGATGTATTCCCGGTAGTGTGCTAGGCTCTGACAAATATGGGGTAAATTTGCTGAACAATTATGACAAATTTGTTCAAGTTGAGCTGTAAAATTCTGAACTTTTACTGACAAATTGTTCAATATTTGTCAAATTGGTCATGAATGGTCACGAAGCAAATACTCTAAGGTAACGCTGGACTATTACAGCAAACTCTTTCTCTCGGCTTTTGCCTACAGAGTTGGAGAGGAGATCAAGCTCGACAACGGGCGAGTGATTTTTGACGCCAGTACGTACTCTGAATGTCATCGACACCATCATACTTGGTTTCAGCATGGATGCAATGCATATGTCCAGTCAAGACCTCCAAAGGTAGCTCCTGGAATCCTGCACTTCAATGGGAAAGGCTCCCAAAAGGACAAGATGTTCCAGGTTGCTAAGTATATGAGATGGCCAAACATTTCAACCCTCAAAACATATCAGATACAAGACGTGGATAAGGGAATCTCTTTGAGTTTGTATGAGCAATGCTCGGGCTTGGAGGAGAACCCTTTCTGTGGTGAATCCGTGAACGAGTGCCTTGCAAAATATGTGGGGTGAAGAATGCCCTTTAGAGGGCTGCATAACCGATCTCTAAGATCTTGGCTGCTGCTTCTTCGCTTGTCAATTTTCTCTCCTGCGGCAAGCTGTCGGTCAAGAATGCACACATGCAGGTCTCCAGCACCTCGACTATGCCGTAACAATGACGCAGCAGCTGCTTGGTTTCATCGGTGGAATAGTCCATCACAGTCTGTAAAAAATTGAATATACTTATGTACAGGATAGTTACTTCACCTTCCGATATGTATCTTTGATGTCTATCTTTGCTCCTGCCTTCCAAAGCAACTTTATCACATCATGATTTCCCCTTTGCGCAGCCTGAACAAAGATCTGCAGATTTCAGTTTGTGGAACAACGCTCTACAAAACATTCCTTGAAGAGAGCGGTCGCTCCCGATCGATCCCTCATATTCGTATTCGCCTTTGCCTGCAGCAAGTACTCGCAAGTCTTGAGTTGCCCGGTGGCAGAAGCCTTCATGAGGGGGGTCATCTAACGCACGGGTGGTCAGGATTCCAATCTCCTGGCAGAAACAAGAGTTGCCTACTTTCAGCTTGTCTGTAGCATTCACATTAGCACCACTTGTGACCCAGCGGATACAATCCTCCACCCTTCCCTGCACATCCAAGTGACTAGAAACAGCAGCAGCGCTCGGACCCACCTCCTCTGCAGCTGTCAGCAGCCTTTCATCTCGTTTTGACATTGGGAAGCAGGGTTTGAAAATCCTCCTCCACGTCGGGAAAGGAGTATGGTCCGTGCTTTGAAATGGATCGTCTTTAAGCTGTCTGGCCTCTTGCGCCAAGGCACAAGGAAAACAGCATGCATGCAGCAAGATATCACGGGCCAGAGATCCAGGGATTTGCTTCTGCCTCCTGATCCTGGAACGGTTCTCTCCTGAGATGAATGGGAAGCAGAACAAGCACATGGCCTGTTGAAAGCCTCTCAGCAAGTCATGTACCCTTGCTCGACTCACCGAGTGAACAAGGGAGTGAACTTGGAGAGGACATTTGCAACATGGACCATCCATAGCATACAATCGCTGGGCCTGCACAGTGATCAACATTGAGGACAAACGGTAGCAATGATTGAGTAACCATATCATTCTCCATCATGTCCTTCTTAATGTCTCCATAGAGCAGACACGGGCATGTCATTCCCTGCCCCCAAAATCCGAAATGGCAGTTCTGAACCACATTGTCAACATCGTCTTGTCACAAGGGCATGCTGATACGTATTCCCACGCTGGCCTCCAGGCAAAGCATCCGAATATACCGGTTGTCCACTGTTCCTGTTACATCTTTGTCTCAGACAAAAGACCAAAGGACAAATGTACAACGTACTTCCTCGATCGTGTCACCCATCCTGTTGGCGGTACGTGGCTCGCCACGGGTGAGGTCCTCCCAAAGATCCATTGGAGCAAGTGCTGTGTGTTCCTGGCGGGCTCTATTTGACCCGCGGCACTTCAATCAATCCTCCTCCTGCTTCTCATTCACTCTCCTTGTCTTGTCGTCCTGTGCTCTCTCCTTTCACACGAGCATGCCGTCGCTACAGGGTGGCTACCAGCACCTCCTGGCATGAAAAGTCCGCCGGCTGGTAGTCCTGTAGAAATGCTCTCAAGTCTCCAACTCCTTTACTCAAACTTCTCCAAGTATTAACTTTCAGAACTTTCAAACTTTCACGGTAACTTTTCAGAGCTTTCAAACTTTGCCTTGCCTTGAAGCCCGCCGCATGCCTGAGATCGGACTGTCGGAGAGTTACTGAGGAAAGTTTCAGCCGCGGGGCGTCACTCAGTGACTGACTGGCTGCACAGGCTCTAGGCTGAGAGCCCCTCCGACTGCCAAGACTCTAATCCTGGTTCCACCGATGCCCGGCAAGTGCCCGCCTCGGCACTGCACTGAGCCCTCACTGAGTCAGGCTAGGCTAAACTTATTACTGAGGGCCCCCGGCGGCCCGCACACATCACTGAAACTCCGGGCCCTCTCCGGCTGCCCCGGCCCGGACGGGCCTGCGGGACTTGACTCAGGCGGGCCCCGCATGTCAGGGTATGACCCCTACCTACCACCTCACGCCTAAACCAGGTAATAATTGTTGACCCTGGTGGGTCAGTGGGGGTGGATTTTGTAAAAAGTTTGTGGCCCGAGGATTCGCGCCAAATCCACAAAGCGCTGCCGCGATGAGAGTGGAGGAAGTGAAATTCAATGAGGAGGAAGATGAAGTGGTAGTGGTGGTGTGGGAGAGTTACAGTAGTCTACGCATTCTCGAATTTGTTGTTATTTCTTTGTTGGAATAATGGAACTGGTTTGTATTTCTACATCATTAGAATAAATAATGGAGTGTAATTGAAAAACTTCTTTCAAGCAAGTATCGGCACATTGCAAGATCTCCCAAACAATTTAAGACAAGATGACATGATATCATTGAAGTGGATGCGATTCAGACATCTCAGTGATTCTATTTCTGCAGATGAATCCCTTTGCGAATCTGACATTCCAAAAACAAATTGAAAGAGTATACGAAATTCGGACAGATGCTGAAAACAAACCCATGCTTAACGAGGACGGTTCAAAAACTCTACTCGATCTTTACATACAGGTGGTCATAATCAATGTAAGTATTGGACGATTATGATGCCCAGTTTTCAGGTGGGAAAGCTGCAGAACGCACCAGATATACTAGAAGTTATGAGATTAATCTTCGAATATGCGATACCAGAGGTCATCTGAAGGAAAGCTGTTGTAATTGACTTAGATTTGACGATTCTTTTCTCTCCACAGGATCAGGATCAAGACACTGCAATATCTGAAACATTTGATGTAGATGAGCTCTGCTCATCCGTCTCGAAAAATTATGAAGTATTCACGAAAAGAGTGAAAGAAACTGCCAATGAAGAAACAACGAGCGTGATGATATCCAAACTCAAGATGATTGCCTCGCTGGTGGATACCAAAGTTCAAGGTGAGAGTTCACGAATAAATGTTTAATAACATTTCGCAGTCAGTAAGATTCTCGGCAAGTCGATGGTGGAAAACCTGTACCAAGATTGGATTTGTGATATGAATCTCGACTCTCTGCAATGGAATAGAGTCAAGTACTATGTGCTAGACGCGTTATGCAGTTTGTGCAAAGAGGTTCAATTGTTATGAAGTCTTGGCTTCACAAATGAGATGTTGATTCCTGATGTATAGGTTGAGATCGCTCGCCATTTGTTGAATCCAGCTGAACTGGCAGAAATCAAATTGTCAAACATTATCAGCTTTCTCGTTGTTGGGTAATGTACCGCTTGTAATGATTCATGAGTGATGTACAAACATAGTTCATGGCCTAATGGAGTCAAAGGCATACAGTTTCTCCGATTGTTGTCTAAATCTTTGACGTCAGAGAAACCGGACGATGAGATGTGCCTTCTAGATGAATGGGCTCAGTCATGGATCAGGAACAATCTGGAACAAAATGCAAATACATCAACGAAGATTGATTGCAAGCTCATTCAAGATGTACTTGCTTCGAATTGTGATAGAGAATTATTCCTAGTTTTTCATGAGGCATCGCACAAACATGTTGGGCTCTACGCGATCGAGAAAATTGGTGAAGTTGTTTTGCACTTGACACACTGAGATTTGATACTACCGCATCAGTTGGAAATGATGTTGAAATGAGAGCATTGAAAGTAAACTCTACTCATGAAGATTTTTACAATGAGATTTCAACAGGACACATTCAGCATTTATCAAGGCGGGATTAGTTTGGCAGCAATCGACAGTGAAGATGTAAGTGGAGACAATCATTGCACCAATTTCGATTGCATGTTCTAATCCAATTCAGTTTGAAGCAGAGATGATAGAAATTTTGCCGTCAAATGTTCAATCATACAACAAAGAAGTTGATGACCCACGAATCGTTCGATGCTCTTTTCAAAAGCCTATACCCTATGACAATCGCGGAAACCTGAAGGTATCAAATTTGTTACAAATGCAGGAGCTCAAAATCATGTTAAAAGGAAATTGACTTCGTATTTGCGACTGATATGGAAAGTGAAAAATTTCTGAATGGTGAATATGCTTCATGGAAGCTTTGAGCTGATCTTTTTACAGATCTTCAAAGGAATCAGCAAGACATCCCCAGTTCTGCGAAAAGTACAATATTGACAGAGGTTTCGCAATGCGACAAAGTCACACCGGCATTTGAAAGACAGAATGTCGAATCTCCGTACGTCGAAATTGACCTGAAGCCTTATAGAATTGACTTTCAGAACGAATCGAATTGCCAAAGAGCAGAATGTGAACTATCCCAGGCAAAAATTCTTTCACTTGACAACACGCAAAAGAATTTTGATGATGATTGTTCCTCCATAAGTGACTTCGAGCCATGCAATGGCAACATTACAAACGGCTTTGAATGGGACAGAAACAAACATGGAAACTCTATTCCTTGCAGATTGAACTTGGACTCAAAGGATGAGAACGATGAATTTTCAGAATATGAGGATTCGTTCGATTGCCGTTCTGAAGGCAGCGACTTTGACGAAGCTCGCAGCCCGGCCAAAAAGGGGGTTATGAGCCTGGAAGGAAAGCTCCATGATTTGTGCAAATTCACTTTCACGGTATGTGATTGAAAGATCTACATATTTCTTATTCATGCATGTGTGCAGAAAAAGAGAAAGTCTTTGGAATTGCAAATACAAGCTGAGAAGCTGAATCTGCAAACGGAAATTGATCATTACCAACTTCTCCAAAGTGAAAAGCTGAAACAAGTCATGCAAGATTACAATAACCAGAATGAAAACATTCAAACGAGAAGGAAACGACTCAAAACTCTGATGCGGGAGCAATGTGAATCGTTTCGAAATTTCATGGTAAAGGTAAGTTTTGACGAAGAACGGAACGTTGAGGAGTCCCATCGCAAGAAAACATTCATTTTTGAACAAGTCATGCACATTAAGAGAGAGCTTCCAAATCGGGTTTCTAACCTGCAAGAGAAATGTTTCGAATTCGTATGTATTCTGATCTGCAATTCTTTTTCTGATTAATTTTAAACGTTTGCAGATGGATGGAGTTCACAAAGAATCCGCAGACAGAGAGTCTTTCCACAACAAGAAAGTAAGCGAATTAAATGCGCTACTGGGAAAGCTGTTTTGTGAGAATTAAAGCAAGGACATGAATTTACTTGAACATAATCTTGTGTCGACTGCCTACCAATAGTTCTCATCGCAAGTCAAACAAACATGGCGTTTTGAGTGGTAGAGACGTTCTGATAGTGAGAGAACTGTTGTGAATCTTGTAGGACTGTCGGAAGAATCATGGAAGGATAGAGGAATAATGGAGCTGGAGGTGTTGATGCCGTACTGGGAGTTTGTCCAAGAATAACAAGCGGTTGGCTGACCTAGAAGAAACTTGAGAAAGCGCAAGAAGCAACAACGAAGAGAATTGGTAGATTTACCACAGGAGTATACACCAGCGGCGAATTAGATAGACTTCCTTTGAGAAAAGACGATGGATAATGAAACTCAAAGTGCGATCGGATACTTGCTGTCGGGGTACAGTAAAATCGTTTGAAACGAGTGTGATCAAGATTGTCACCTTCGCTTTGGATAGTTGTTGGAGTATCGGATACAGCAGAATCCTTCGATGCTGCTACTCAGTTGTAAGACCATTGCTCAAAATTATCAACAGCTGGTTACTTGAGGGGAGAAATAAATCAGATGGTGCAAAAGGTAAGAGCTTCACTTCGTCTGATAGAGGTTGTGCTGCAAGTCGGACCAAGCAAGAATCGATTTCGTTGTGATACGATGCAGCAGTCCTTTTGTCGAGAATCGAGGGGATTTGAAACAGCGAAGATCAGCGCATAGATTAAACAATGAAAAAGTAATGACAAAACTCACTCGTTCACTGATTGCTTCTCGCTGATCAGAGTATCGTTAGCAATCGCAGGTAATGTGGGTACGGAGTATTTTCTGTTTGAAAGTGGGTACTGCTCACAGTCAACAGTGAGAGAGCTGAGGTTGAAAGTCAGACCTGAATCTTCCCAACTCCAATATCCTTTCCTGACACAGGCACAAAACGTTAGAAGGAACCACAACCTTCATCAGTTCAACCATTGTCACTCAGTTGCAGAGAGGGCGTTGAAACGGCGCCAAGCTTGCTTGCGGAGTGATACAGAGAAGGAGGTTCGTCATCAGTCTGCAAACAATTGTCATCTCCTTCGTCTCATCATGATGCCATAATCACTCGGGATCACCTTCATGGGAGTGAACAACACGAGACTGGCTTGCACGCCAGGGGTTGGCGAAGTTTGATGACTCCCTTCCTCCATCGTTGAGGTCACATGGCTTTCTTCTTCCAATCCCTTCATGCGGAATCAAATTGTGAGGTTGTTAACAGCCGCTCACCTTTAAGCTCCGAATGATTCGTTTGAGCCACTCCACTGATCTCGACCTCTCGGCTTTTCGGACCATGCATTCTTCCAGCAAACTCTCGTAGTACTGTGCGGGAGAATAAGAACGATATCGACAGGTCACACGAGAAGTTGAAGAATCGATGAAGACAAACTGGTGGAATCTGCGAGGAAGCAGCACAACATAGCAGCATGCCTGTTTTCCTCTGACACGCGAATTCAAACTTCACACAGCAACAGCGCTGCTCGAGGTGATGTAGATGAGGAGGAGGCAGACGACAATGGGCGAAGAATCTCTCTCCCTCTCACTCACTCGTATCCTCGCTGCGTCCTGGCTGCATGCTCGGAAGCGCCGCAGCAGCCCATCCATGGCGCGGGCTGCCTTCAATTCCGACATGTCGGACGGTCAAACTTCCCGAGCAGTGGGTGGTAGGGTGGATAATGTTGTATTTTCAGGGGGTACTTTTGCTTTCAAATTATGGGAAAATAAGGGGTACTTGAAGAAGAGTACCCCTCCCTTTGATGTGTTCCTTGGTTTGGTGTCCTTTTCAAAATATTTCTTTTTTTTTGTGTAAAACTTTTTGACAGCCGTTGTGTAGACAAGAAAATGAGCTGAGGGGAGGAGGAGGAGGAGGGAGGACAAGGAGAGGGAGGAGGAGGAGAGTTGACATCAAACTTCTCTTTCTCAGGCCCATTTTCAGCATGCAGCGATCAAAGATTTCAAGAGCGTTTCCTACTTGCTGAGAATCCCATGATCCGGTGATATCTCATGTCGACCAAATTCCCTCCTATCCTGGACAGGAAGGTTTCGACCAAGCAGGAGACGAGCATCCTTGCAGCGCAGGTGTCCAGGAGGTTGTCACATTGACTGAAGGTCTCATCCCTGAGCAGAGAGATGAGGCGCTACAAAGGGAGAAATATCAGAGAGAGGACGCTGCGAAGCAATCCCTCATCCGGTTTTTGGAAGGACAGGTGAAGAGAAGAAGGATGTGATGATGATGATGATGATGATGATGATGATGATGCTGATGATGCTGATGATGCTGATGATGCTGATGATGCTGATGATGATGATGATGATGATGATGATGATGATGATGATGATGATGATGATGATGATGATGATGATGATGATGATGATGATGATGATGATGATGATGATGATGATGATGCTGATGATGCTGATGATGATGATGATGATGATGATGATGATGATGATGATGATGATGATGATAAGGAGGAGAGATGGTAAGGTCGGAGGATATCTTGGAGAGCTGACATATGCCAAACAGAGGAAGAAGGCGGACAAGATGCCTTTAAGGAGAATTTACAGGTTGAAGAATTTAATGTTATGATATCTACTGGTGAATGTTTGCTGTGATCAAAGAGAGTGGTACAAGGTATCTTTGAAAAGCATCAAGAGCATCGAAAAATGCCAGGTGCACTCAAGGGCCGCTATCCTGCTCCCTACCTCTTGCTCCTCCTGTTCCTCTCACTCCCTCCTTCTTTGTTCCTTCCTTTGCCGCTATCTTGCTCCTTTCCGCCGTCCATTCCTCTTGCTCATCATATGATTCATAACATCCCTGCAACAGGATGCAATATCCAAGAACGATCTGCGAGCGCTGCAGATTCTGCTCATGGTAGACATATCATTCTCCCCAGCCCTCCATCCATTCGCTCTCCTTCAGTTCATCGTCTTCCTACCTTTCTTGAGCTGAGTAGTTTCGCCCTTGATCCTGCAGGGCGATCGGAGGATTCGAGCGTCGGTGACCACTGGAGTTGTCCAAGCCAAGTTGCAGACGATGCTGCACCTGGTGGCGATGAACGAGGAGGCGACGTCAGGTGACGACCTGACTGTCCCTCTTCCCTTTTGTCTGTCTCATGGCAGCGACTTAGCCATGCTCGAGCTCGTCCTCCAGGCCTGTCCGTCAAGTGCGCAGGTGCTGCATGTGGAGGGAGGGCAGGAGGAGGGGATGAAGGAAGAGACAGCGGATGGACAACAAGCGCATGACGCCTCTCGCGTACCTCTGCCGTAGGAGGCCAAGGACGGTAGGTGATGTGAACATGCCTGCTGTTTGTAAGGTTATGTGGCTGCAGCACTGCCTGGGTCGATGCGCGGGGGAAGTTCGGCTGCTGCTGGACGCGCATCGAGAGGCTGCGGGGGTGAGAGACATGGAGGGGAAGACACCGCTGCATCACCTGATGAGGTAGAGGAGGAGGAGGAGGAGGAGGAGGAGGAGGGAGGGTAGGGGGTGGGAGGAGGAGAAGGAGGAGAAGGAGGAGGAGGAGGAGGTGGAGGAGGAGGGATATGATGATGGAAAGGCGATGATAATGGTCTCATCAGATTCCATTGTTTCTGCTACGAGAGCATTGAAGAACTAGTGAAGGCAGACGACAAGATAGCAAACGTTCTTGACGTGAACGGGTCAGCTGATCGTTTCCAACATCGATAGCTGATTGCGCTGTGACAGAAACTCTCCCATGGACATTCTATCTCGTCAAATCATTGATGGGACGAACAGGTGTTGACAAGACGTGGAGGAAGAGGAGGGAGAGGAGGGAGAGGGAGAGGAAGAGGAGGGGGAGGGG